CCCACAAAAAAAAGGGGGTCAAGAGGAGTATGATGGAAAGGCCTGCCGGAACAACCATGTCTTCAATTGCTTCTTGAAGACACCCAGCGAGGGAGACCTGCGGATCACAGGAGGTAAGTTGTTCCAGAGGCGAGGAGCCACCGCCGAGAAGGCCCGATTTCTTGTCTTCTCCTTCCGGGCCTCCCTCGGCGTTAGGCTCCTCAACCTCACCTCCTGGCTCGCGCGGGTGACACGGGTAGATCTTGGCGGGAGAAGGCGTTCCGCCAAGTATCGAGGCCCTAAACCGTTTAGGGCTTTATACGTGAGCATCAACACTTTGAAGTCGATGCGGAAACGGATGGGCAGCCAATGCAAGGCGGCCAGAGTGGGTGAAATATGTTGGAATTTTTTCATATGTTGGTATTTTTTCAAACCTCTATCCACTTTCTATCTCCTGAACAGCACTCCAGAGCAAATCACAAAAGGGATGATCTCCAGCCATTAATACCTAAAAACCCAAGGTGAGTGCAGTGTGATTGGGTTCTTATCTAAGGTTCCATTCAGTCCCGGGAGTAGCAAAATCAATATGTTAATGGTATTAATATGATAATTATAGTTTTAGTGTTAGAGTTGCAAGAGTCTTGAGTGATTTTCTTGGGGGAACCAGAAAGCACTTTTCTACATCTTTCAAGGATTCCACGTTAACAACAATGGCTTGGTTGCCAGATGGTGTGGGGTATACCCACGTTAACAACAATGGCCTGGTTGCCAGATGGTGTGGGGTATAAATCTAATAAATAAATAAATAAACAATGGTAATGTGTTTTTATGAAGCAATGCAATAGTTTACTTCTACAGGCTGCAATAATGCAAAGAATCATTCTGATGTCCAAGCAATGTAATACAGCAAGTTTCTTTTTGAAAGTAACATTATCTGACAGAAATGATTATTGAATCACAATTGTAGCCCAAGATAAATTGTGAAAATTGAGAGTAGGCCTGTAAATAGCCTGTAAAAACTAATGTCATGTAACCATGCCAAGACAACGAAGACAACACTAAAGGGCATCAATGTGAGCAGCAAGAATCAGTTTTGAAAAGTTGCTTTTTTGGACTTCAGCTCTCAGAATCCCCCAGTCAGCATGGCAGTGGCCAGATTCTGGGAGACATCCAAAGAAGGAATCTTTCCAAGCCCTGGCAAAGATGGATTTCCTCCACCAAGGGTACAGCAGAGACCTCGTTGTTCTGGGGCAGAGGCACAATTTTCCCTGATTCTGTTCTAGTTAGATGCTGCTAGAAATACCCCAAATCCCTTTCTCTCCTGTCTTAACAATTTGAAGTTTAATGGTATTAATATGATAATTATAGTTTTAGTGTTAGAGTTGCAAGAGTCTTGAGTGATTTTCTTGGGGGAACCAGAAAGCACTTTTCTACATCTTTCAAGGATTCCACGTTAACAACAATGGCCTGGTTGCCAGATGGTGTGGGGTATAAATCTAATAAATAAATAAATAAACAATGGTAATGTGTTTTTATGAAGCAATGCAATAGTTTACTTCTACAGGCTGCAATAATGTCCAAGCAATGTAATACAGCAAGTTTCTTTTTGAAAGTAACATTATCTGATAGAAATGATTATTGAATCACAATTGTAGCCCAAGATAAATTGTGATAATTGAGAGTAGGCCTGTAAATAGCCTGTAAAAACTAATGTCATGTAACCATGCCAAGACAACGAAGACAACACTAAAGGGCATCAATGTGAGCAGCAAGAATCAGTTTTGAAAAGTTGCTTTTTTGGACTTCAGCTCTCAGAATCCCCCAGTCAGCATGGCAGTGGCCAGATTCTGGGAGACATCCAAAGAAGGAATCTTTCCAAGCCCTGGCAAAGATGGATTTCCTCCACCAAGGGTACAGCAGAGACCTCGTTGTTCTGGGGCAGAGGCACAATTTTCCCTGATTCTGTTCTAGTTAGATGCTGCTAGAAATACCCCAAATCCCTTTCTCTCCTGTCTTAACAATTTGAAGTCTAATAAAGATATAACCTGCTCTTTCATTCGAATGGTTTTGGGGACTGCACAGCCTTTGTCTATTTTCCCCCTCTTTCCCCTTAGAATAACACCAAGGCCAGGTGGAAATTCAGAATAGAAACAGCTGTCAATTCAAGGCCCTTCAGAGATATTGCCCTCCATTTGATATGCCTTTGGCTAGGCAGATTTGGTTTCAGCAAATAATATTTATTTTATACATATAACTGTACAAGATCAAGCAGGTTTCAATATCACACAGTCCCACTTGTCACTTTCAGGCAATCATTCAAATCCTAGTTGGCTTCATCCCCAGTGTTTTTCTGTTCTTCTAGCAACAGCAGCCATTCCCAGAATTCATTGCTTCTGTACATGACTATTGCTGACATGCTAGGATCACAATTTTGGCAATTCTTAAGTTTGTCCTGCCTTCTCCTGCACTTCCAGACGTGTAATTGTTTTCTACCCAAACTCTTTTTCACCGAACAAATTTATGAGCAGTTAAAAAGAAGGCACTGACTTGTGTGTATTTTCTCTAATTGTCTAGGTGTAAATAGGATCTAAATGGAGAGGTACTAGCCCTAAGGTCATTTAAGGTAGTGCTTCCAGGCATTTAACACGGATCTATTACAAATACTAGTGAATAAGGGCAGGGGCTATCAAGATATGTTAAAAGGAAAGAGGGGAAACATGGAGGAAATAAATACATTCCCGAAAAACAACATCATCCAAGGTTTCTGGCAACACAAGAAACAAGATAGTTACTGTGACATGTAGGTGTCCAGACTGTAGGGGGCTTGACACCTTACTGTATAATTTGATACACAGCATATACAGATAATAGCTGAAGAATCATCTCCAGTCATGCAAACAGCTGCTTTCCATCAAGCCTAGCATTACTAGCCCAATATTTACCTTCACACATAGTAGCTTTTAGTAATATGCAATATCTTAAAATGGTTCTCCCCACTGATTGCGCCAGAGAACAAATCACAGAAGACTTTGAAGATCTCTGTAATATAAAAAATAATCCATGAAAGTAACACACACAGACACACAGAGAGCCCCCTCAAAAGCTCTGAGCCTCTGTCTATTAAAAGCTCTTGGAGTTATATTGCCTTGGATACATTTCATTAAGAGGAGTCAATCATGCCTGTGTCCACTTAATGACAGAACATTTATCATGGAAAAGGTTTACCTGATCTGTTATAGGCCAGCACTTGCTGCAGACGTATTTGTTCCTCAGTAATGCTCCTGTTCTTAGATGCAGCTCCTTTCCCCAGTTAATCACAATGCTCTACCGTTTTACTGCTTTGCAGCAACACCAGGTAGCAGGACCTGCTTAGAGCCTCTGCAGTTGTCCCTCCAGCCAGCTATTGACTCAGCAGTTTTTAAAGCCTGTTTGCAATTTTTCTGAACTAAATCATGTCTCTTTGCAAATGTCTAGGAAATCATCATACTTATTTATCTACTGAGATATTTCAAGTTCACTGAAATGCCACTCTTTTAAATACTGTTAGCTTTTACATAATAAGTGTAATGTATATGTTTCCCACTGGTTGAAAGAAATGATCCAATAAAGTTGTTGTCTTGCTCAAAGTCAATTTGCTTTATAATGACAGAATGAATTCAGTCCTTGACTTTATAAAACCAATATAACGGTAACCAGAGAATTTTGTTTGGGGTTGTAGGTACAAACAGGTTTCTATTCCTATGCATGCTTAAACAAGGCTTGTTCAGCTGTCTTCAGTTCTTCACTTGATATGTGCAACAATGTAAACAAAACACGACAGATTAAATACCCCCATTTCACCTCATACCAATTCAGATGCAAAAGCTTTCCAACAGAGTCTAATTGCATTCAGTCTCCAGACATCTATTTCAGTTGACTCTGCTGAAAGGCAACACAATGAGGGTCCTCTGCCAACTAAGGACATAAAGAGAACCCTGCTGGATCAGACCAAAGTCCACCCTAGGCCAGGTTTCTGGTCCCACAGTGGCCAATCAGACTGGGAAGCTCAATGTGTAGCACCCTCCAGTTCATGCACCAGAGGAGGTGCATGCACCACTGGATCCACTGCAAGGCCCGTTCACTGAACTGTTTTGATCTCACCTGGTCATTACAAGGCATCGGAAATTCGGGCCATGCATTGGCTTTATAGAAGTGTCCAGAGCAGACATGTTTGTGTGTTCCTGATCAACTCAAGTTGATTTAAGAAGCCCCAATTATCCTGAGTAAGTCTGTGTGCCTCTCCAAATCACTAAAGGTTGCTCTGACATTTGGGGAGCAGGTGCAGAAGGGATACAATTGGTGGGGATCTATGTTGCTGTAGCAAAAGTAGGAAGTCTTGAAGTGTGAGACTGACAGCTGAATCCCCTATAAGACCCAAAATCTCCCTTTGAAACTCCACTTGCCGAGTATCCCTAGAGAAAGCTTAGACCAACTTCCCCAGATTCCCAGTAGGCTCAGCAACCACTGCACATGGATGGATCCACTGTGCCAAAGGGAGGACGTTGCATTGCTTACTAGACTGGCCATGCTATGGGATTTTCCCCCCTCTTTTAGGTACCAAGTGTCACTGAGTCACCCCAAATCTTCTGTAATGTATTGAACACACAAGACCTGTACTGCAGAGCTTGCTAACACGAACATAAGCCATGAGGTTCAGTGAAACCTGAACTTCTCTACAATTGTCATATCCTCTACAACCCAATTTATAGCAGATACCTTTAGCAATACAGTCTTTATGCAACCTGTAGTTTCTATAATTCACTAACAGAGATTATTTCCTCCTTTTCCTTCATTTCTACTATTTGTTTTCTGTGTGCTTGTCAAACCCATCAGCTACCTTCAAGTGCACAATCCTGTCATTAGATAATGTTAAGCAATATTTAGAATTAAAAATGTTTCATATAACTTGTTTAAAATAGTCCACTTTGTGTAGATAGTCCCATGAAAAGGGGTGGGAGAGAATAAATAATAGGCCATGTAAATCCAGGAGCAGGCAATACCTTTATTGGACCACTGAAAATATCAAGCAGATTGTGAGCATTCTATGGTAATTTATCCCATTTTTCTCAAGTGGGAAAATATTTAATACTTAATAAGAGGAAACCACTTTGATCACAATTGAATATAGCTGAAAATAAGAATCACAAAGAGCATAACATAAACCCCATGACACAGCTCTGACTGGAACTGTGTCAGGGCTATATTTTTCTGAAATATACCAACTGTGCCCCTTGAATTTTCTACCTAATACTTGGTGCAGGCCTGAAAAAATACAGTAAGGTCAACTTATTTCAGTGTAAAACCAAAAGCTCATAAGCCATATTCTGACTTGATTACAACTGTTCTTCCAACCACTTGAATGTCAATTCAGGATTAGAGATATGGAGACGCTGGGCCAAAAACAAAAGCGAAAAAGATTTTTCATGCTCCTCCCTACAAACTGGGAAGAAGTGGGAGATTATAGGCCTTCACATCTCTAAAGATCTGAGGTTCATTCCACTGTAAGATCCACCTACAGAAAATAATAAGTACATCAGGCATATTATTATGCAGTTGTTGCTTTGATAATATATTCACCAGTTATTATTAGAGAGGGTAGTAGCTGACTGTTTCCAAGCAACTTCACTTAATATATCTAATTGCTTTTGCTGACTGTAATTGAAGATTTGTTTTGGATTGTTACTGAGAAGGGATTTCAGATAGGTAATTCGTGGGAAACCACAGTTTTTGATACTTTTTAATGTGACAAAGGAAAAGCTGAGATTCTGATACAATGAAGAACTTCCACCGAGTAAAGAGAATACTGGAGTTACTTAACGCTGAGTTTCCAAAGTTTGGGGTTTATATATAGGAACATTTTTCTCTTGAAGTGATGGCAGTCCCTTGATCATATCAGCAGCTTTCTCTGCTATCATAATAGTTGGGGCATTTAAATTTCCACTGACAATACTAGGCATTATTGAGGCATCAACAACTCTCAGGTTTTCCATTCCTATAACTTTGGTCTGGGGATCAACCACAGCAGTAGTATCAGAACTCTGTCCCATTTTGCACGTGCAGGAAGGATGATAGGCACTATCTGCCTTTTGTCTTATGAAGGCATCTATTTCTGCATCCGACTGAACATGTTCTCCTGGTTGAATTTCAGATCCTCGGAATATATCAAAGGCCTTCTGAGCAAATATCTCTCTGGTTAACTTCACACACTGACGGAATTCCCAGGCATCTATTTCTGAAAAACAAAACAAATCTTTAAGATGACAGCCTCAGGATAGCCAGTTCTAATCTATGATTCTGATTGCCTGTGTCATTATGTGCCACCACCGCAATGCTGCTCTTTCTGTGAAAATAAGCAGGGCAGTCTGATTCCACAAGTGCTCTTTAAGCACATTTGAACACACAGGAGTTTCTGGTTTGGAATATGTAATCATTTCCGTCAGTGTCATGGACAGCCCAATTGAATTAGATTGCCTGAATGGCTCCACCATACTAGACAGACTGGAAGTGCACAACATCAGGAAACCTAAACTGCAGTTGTAATGAGATTACTGAATCTTGGATCACGTTAAGCCACCAGTTCATTGGGAATTTCACCCTCTTGGAAACTTTAAATTTGATCATTGTGTGATGACTGTGCCAAAGCCTACAGGAACAAAAAAAAAGGATGGCAATAAAATACATTGGTACCACCAACCTAATATGCCAATGCCTGCAAATGGGTTTAAGAGTGTTTAGTTATTGATGGGAGTTTCAACCACATATTGGAACAAATCAACAACAACAACAACAACAAAGAATAGACAACTGCATTTACCTGTTGATAAATAGTTGGGTTCAAGGATAGGATGTTCTCTGGGGTCAGCATTTTTTAATTTTAGCCATCCTGTGCTGGTACTGCGCATGGGACCAACATGGACCTGAAACAATCCATAAAGAACATCTGAAATATGTAATCTGGATGCTCCTTCTGAGCTCACAGTTTTTATATTTGGATGTTCAGATTCATAAGCCACAGTTCATTAAACTAAGGATCGACATTAGGGCCAGGTGTTCCTCTGTTGCCCTTCCAATCCCTTCTTATTAAATATCATTTTAATCTACTCAATATTTAATTTTTTAGAAAAGAACCTCAGAAGAACAAGCTTTACTAGGTCACTACAATATCAACAGCAACACAAAACCGTACACATCTATACATGTTCAAAATGACATAACCTCCTTTTTTTCTTATGACTTTTGATGCTTGGCGCATATTTCTTTTGCTGCCAAAGCAAATTTTGCTACTTGATAGGTAGTACAGTATTTGCATCCCTACCCACAAGCAGTGTGCAGAGTTCAGCCAAGGAGGGTCTATCATATAGAAGTCTAAGAATGCCAGCAAAAAGTTGGGTTCTGGGGTACTCATATAAAGGGCAACTTAATAAACAATGGAAAGCATCCTCGACCTCTCCTGATCCACAGATACAGGGTCTTTGATGAAATGGGACATTATCATATCTCCCCTCCAAAATGGCTGATGGCATAAAGCTGTGAAAGCTTTTCTTAAAGAGGCTAAGGTCAGATAAACAAAATAATTCTCCAAATTAAATGACGTTTTGTACAGAGGGAACCAACGAGAATGGGCCATTTGTGAGATGGCACACAGATCCAGCCCCTTAGAGTGAAGACTGACTTTTTCTTTAACCAGATGCATGGCTCTATTAGAGGCAAAAGTGTTGATTCCATAGCTCTGTAAAATGGGTCTAACTGAGTTTACTCAGGGCTTTTGAGAAGGATTATGGAGTTGTTGTTTTTGTAGCACTTCTTTGGGAGGCAGGCCAATTTCAACCAATACATGGCCAGGGCAATGTGGTCAATCTTTTAAAATATCTTTTTACATCCAAAGTGGTAAACTCTGGCTTAATGTCAGTTAGCAAACCAAGATAACAAGCTAAAAATTCAAAGAGAGTCACAAATAAATTAAGTCCCTGTTATTTTAGACTGTGAAATTGCTAATCTAGCAGAAGCAAAAAAATTCTATATTAACCAATAATGAAAGAGAAGTCATAGTAGGCTCTATCTAATTATGAGAGGCAAGGATGAGATGGCTGGACAGTGTCTGCGAAGCAACCAACATGAACCTGACACAACTCCGGGAGGCAGTAGAAGACAGGAGGGCCTGGCGTGCTCTGGTCCATGGGGTCACGAAGAGTCGGACACGACTAAACGACTAAACACACACACACATCTAATGATGAGGACGGGCCTAATCTTTTTTACATAGCAGACAGTCAGACACCTGCATGGAGATTCATATGCTCACCTGATAAGCCTCCAGCTGAGAAGCAACACGGCCATGGTCAATCACCTGGGAAGGGAGGAAGTGAAACTGAATATCTGGGTGAGAAACTCCTGGTCGACTTCTGACAAATCCACCTGTCTCCAGGTGGGCAGTGGCACCATAACCTGCATAGGGAAACACCACTGATTAGAATCAGAAACTGTCAAAGAGAATGTTTAAAACACTTCTCCCCCTGCCCCATCATAGAATCTCACATCACGACCTTCCATACATGTTATCCACAATAAGCAGAATTTACTTTTGTCCTTGACTCATCAAATTCCATTCCCTACTCCTCTGAAGTCAACAAGGCTTAGGCATGGTTCATTCTGCTGGACTGCACGGTGTTTTGCTCTTTATAAAATTGTTTTAAAACAGAAAAACAAAGAACAACTGCTAACCTCTCTCCTTAAGAGTATCAGCTTATGATATTTTAATGAGGCAAAAAGGTAATCCCTAGTTTTAGGGACAAATCATATGCTCCGCTATTTTAGGGACAAATCATATCATATGCTCTTTTAGAGACAAATCATATGCTCCACTATTCAGCCAAAGGGAGTGGATGACAGCACAATTATTGCAGGCTTTGATAGGATAGAATCCCTTCCAAACTCCTTTCCACTCCCTTTCCTTTTCCACCCCTTTTATACTCCCATCCATGCCCCAAAAGCACAGTAATCTATGCACCCGGGTAGGTGGGGCTTGTCAGCCATGGAAGGCAGAGACAAATCATATGCTCCACTATTCAGCCAAAGGGAGTGGATGACAGCACAATTATTGCAGGCTTTGATAGGATAGAATCCCTTCCAAACTCCTTTCCACTCCCTTTCCTTTTCCACCCCTTTTATACTCCCATCCATGCCCCAAAAGCACAGTAATCTATGCACCCGGGTAGGTGGGGCTTGTCAGCCATGGAAGGCAGCCCATCTAGGAGAAGGAAAACTCTGATTTCAAACCTCCACTGCCTTTTGGCTATATCCACTGATGGAAAAGGTTTCAGGAGTAAACCTCGAGGCAAAATCCGGAGCTGGAGTCCTAGAGGCAGTTTGTGCTGTTCTGGCAACTCCTCAGACATTGCTGGAACCAGTTGTATTGGCTGTTGCCCTTCTAGTGGACTATTTCAGCGATGCGGAGAGGGGGAATTAGCAGCCTATCCTCCATATTATTTTACTCAGGCTTCGTGCTCTGGAAAGGACACTCCAGCTTTGCATACAGCATCAAAATAACACAGGAAGTAGCAATTACCGGTTATAATTCTTTGCTTGATTGTGTAGAGCATGACACCATGGGCTACTTCCGATGGTGAGAGAGGTCATTGCACCTCACTAGGTAGCTACCACCCACCTTAAGCTGACCAGCCCCCAGCCAGTAAGGTGCCACCTCGCCACAATCTTTTAACCTCACACGGTGCGTGGGGTATAGGGTGACATCCGACAAGCAGATTGATAACCCTACACCATGCAATAGTCATAAGAAAACTTCTGCCCTAAAGTTGGGCACCTGGAATGTTCAGACAATGACCCTTGGCTTTTCTGATGACCTGCAGGAAATAGACAATGTGCACAAGACAGCAGTCATCGACATGGAACTGAGTAGGCTGCAGATGGACATTGTTGTCCTGCAAGAGATGAGGTTGCCAGACTCGGGATCTGTCAAAGAAAAAGAAATTCTCATTCTTCTGGCAGGGAAAACCATTGAATGAGTCCAAGGAATATGGTGTTGTCTTTGTGGGTAGAAATGCTCTGCTGAGATCCATTGTTCCACCTACTGTGGGGAGTGAAAGAATCCTGTCTCTGCAGCTCCACTCGTTGGCAGGACCAGTCACCCACATTAGTGCATATGCACCAGCATTGTCATCTACAACAGAAATCAAAGACAAATTCTATGACGATCTGGTAGGTACTATCAAAAAATCCTTGAGAGAGAGCTGTTGTTCATTCTCGGAGACTTTAACACTAGAGTTGGTACTGATTACAATTCTTGGCTCCCTTGTCTAGGCCGTTTTGGCATTGGGAAGATGAATGAATGGCCAACAGTTGCTGGAGTTTTGCTATTGCTATGGTCTCTGTGTGAGCAACATGTTCTTTAATATGAACCTTCAACACAGACTCTCTTGGAGACATCCAAGATCAAAGCATTGGCATCAGCTTGATTTGATCTTCACTAGACGCTCTAGCCTTCCTAGTATTATGATCACACACAGTTATCAGGGTAAGGATTGCAATACTGATCATTCCCTGGTGTGTAGCAGAGTAAAACTGTGAATAAAGAGATTGCATCACTCAAAAAAGGAAGGAAGACCACCTATTATCAGCAAGACTCGCGATCAGAAAAAAGTAGAGAAATGCCCAAGCGCTTGAGGAAACCCCTCCAGGGCTGGCTGATGCAAATGCACCTGAATGATGGGAACATTTCAAGAATGCTGTTTATAACACTGCCTTGTCCACATTTGGCAAGAAGACGAAAAAGACAGCAGACTGGTTTGAAGCCTGTTCAGAGGAGTTGTTGCCAGCCATTGAGGAAAAGAGGAGAGCTCTAGCAGCATACAAAGCCTGTTCTAGTGAGTACAACTTGCAGGCTCTTTGAGTTGCTCATAGCAAAGTTCAAAAGATTGCCAGGAGATGTTCTAATGATTATTAGCTTCAACTCTGGTCTCAGATACAGGTAGCAGCAGACACAGGTAACATCAAGGAAATGTATGACTGTATCCAGCAGGCTTTAGGTCCAATACAGAAGAAATCTGCTCCCTTGAAGTCTGCTACAGATGTAATCATCCAGGACCAAGCACAGCAGATATAACGCTGGGTGCAGCACTACTCTGAGCTATATTCCAGAGAGAATGTAGTAACCAAAGAGCATTAAATAACATTGAGTGCCTGCCTGTCTTGGAAGTAGTTGAACAACGAACCAACTTTAGCAGAAATAAAAGCAGCCTTGGATTTCCTCACCTCTGGCAAGGCACCTGGGAAGGATAACATCCTTGCTGAAGTGCTGTAAATATATCATCATCACCGAACTGTATGAAATCTTTTGTCTTTGCTGGAGGGAAGGTGGAGTACAACACAACATGAAGGATGCAAACATCATCACATTGTATAAGAACAAAGGAGATGGGGCAACTGCACTACTATGGCATCTCTCATCTCAGTGTTGTAGGGAAGCTGCTTGCCCGTGTTGTGCTGAAGAGACTCCAGGTGCTTGCAGACAGAGTATATCCAGAATCACAGTGTGGATTTTGAACTACTAGATCCACCACTGACATGGTATTCTCCCTCAGACAATTGCAGGAGAAATGTAGGGAACAACGACAGCCACTGTTTGTGGCCTTCATAGATCTTACAAAGGCCTTTGACTTGGTTAGCAGGGACGGCCTTTTTAAAATACTTCCTAAGGTTGGATGTCCACCTCGACTCCTTAACATCTACAACGAGCTCTGACACTCTCTCGCTAGATGTTGAACTCGATAAACACACTGGCAAACCAGCTACCATGTTGTCTAGACTCACAAAGAGAGGATGGCTTAATAAGAAGCTGATGGCATATACCAAGATCCCGGTCTATAGAGCCTGTGTCCTGAGTACACTCCTGTACTGCGGTGAGTACACAGCAGGCAAGGAAGTTGAACACGTTCCATATGCATTGTCTCTGACACATTTTTTGTATTGCCTGGCAGGACGAAGTCCCAAACAGAGTAGTCCTAGATGAGCTGGAATTTTTAGCATGTATACATTACTGAAACAGTGATGTCTATGTTGGCTTGGGCATGTCGTGAGAATGGCTGATGATCGGATTTCAAATGATCTCCTGCATGGAGAATTACTGCGGAGAAAGTGCCCCAGAGGTAGACCACAACTGCGATACAAGGACATCTGCATGCAGGATCTGAAGGCCTTAGGAATGGACCTCAACAGATGGGAAACCCTGACATCTGAGTGCTCAGCCTGGAGGCAGGCACTTGTACAGCAGGCCCAGGCAAAGAGGCAGTCCCCAAACCAGCAAAATCAGGGAGCTGGGCAGGGGACAGATTGTATCTGTCTTCATGTGGAAGGGATGGTCACTCTCGAATTGGCCTTCTCAGCCACAGTAGATGCTGTTCCAAGACCTCTACTCAGAGCACGTTACCATAGTGTCTCAAGACTGAAGGATGCGTACACACTGATAGAATGAAGATTTAGTTTAAAAAGAGATTGTGAGGTGGAAAAGAGGCAAAAATATCACATAAGCAACATGGGATATAGAAACCAAAAGTGAATTATACCTTTCCCACGAGATTTCATTAACTATCTGCTTCATTGCAAAATATTTTTCCAGCAGGGCAATTTGAAACCTGGTCTAACACCATGCCACTTGTGTTTCCCTCTGGAGAATTTGTATCAATGAGTTGTATTTTGTATTTCTCTTGGGATAGGAAGTCGCTGCCAACTTTAACTTGGATGTATGAAGATTAGCAGCAGTGAGGTGGGCAACAGAAATGGGCAAACTGCTGATGAGGTACCTTTAGGGAGAATGCACTGGAGCCAGTGTAAATGATACTAATGCTTCCACATTGTAAACAGAAATTCGGGTAGAACATACAAACATAAGAAAAGCCCTGCTGGATCAAGCCAAGAGCCCATCTAGTCCAGCTTCCTGTATTTCACAGTGGTCTCACCAGATGCCTCTGGCAGCACATGGGAGCACTAGATACCTGTCTCCTGATCCCACTCCCCTGCATCTGACATTTCGAAGTATCTTCCTTTTAACCCTGGAGTTTATGCATCCCCATCATGGCTTGTAACCTACAATGGACTTTTCCTCCAGGAATCTGTCCAATCCCCTTTTAAAGGCATCTAGGTCAGATGCCATCACCACATCCTGTGGCAAGGAGTTCCACAGACTAACAACAGGCTGGGTAAAGAAATATTTTCTTTGTTCTCACTCTCCAAACACTCAATTTGAGTGCATGTCCCCTGGTTCTAATATTGCGTGAGAGGGAATAGAGCTTCCCACTATCCACTTTATCTATCCCCTACATAATTTTTTAAGTCTCAAAGATGTATAAAATTAGAAGAACAGAGAAATGCTCATTGCATATAACAGAAGCGGGAGCAGTTATGGTAAAATTTTATGGTGAAATCAGATAAACATCTTGTGAATTCGGACAATGAAAAGAAGACTGGAATACATTCTGCTAAAAAAGTCTGTGAGTCTCAGGAAATCTAGAATATTTGGAATTTTGGAAGGAATCCTGCTTCTCCCTCCCTCAGCCTCTCATAGGATCTCCCAACTCTGCACAGCATTTTTAAGCAGCTGCCATGAACACCAGGAGAGTCTGCTTCTACAGCCATTTTGCACATGGTTAAATCTAGATCTAGCCATACCTCATTCAGTAGTCAATCATTCTTTATATTCCAAGTGCTCTGAGATATATTTGCCTGTGCAGATAATTGTTTTTTTTCATAGTAAAGTCAACTGGATGTATCTCTCAGAAGAAGACTGGAAGGACAGATCCTGAAGCTGAGGCTCCAATACTTTGGCCATCTCATGAGAAGAGAAGACTCCCTGGAAAAGACCCTGATGTTGGGAAAGTGGGAGGGCAAGAGGAGAAGGGGACGACAGAGGATGAGATGGTTGGACAATGTCATCGAAGCAACCAACATGAATTTGACCCAACTCCGGGAGGCAGTGGAGGATAGGAGGGCCTGGCGTGCTCTGGTCCATGAGGTCATGAAGAGTCGGGCACGACTAAATGACGATGACTCAGAAGAAGAGTATAATGAAACATGATTTTAAGTCATACCTGTATGTTTCAGGAACCATTCGAGACCAATCTTGACCATTTGAAGAGGCTTTTGTGATTCGTATAGTGTGACAGGTTGAGTACATTTGTGTTGTACATATATTTCTAGGTGGTCTTGAAGATTCTGGCCAACTCCTAGTAGAAATGACAAAAACACGCCAATTATTACACAAGTGAACCTATAAGTTTGCTATAAGTTAAAGCAGAACTATGCAGTATTATTAGAGACAAACCTGGAAGGTTACATACAATGGGTATTCCTAATTTTTTCAGATCATCTGCATTTCCAACTCCAGACAACATAAGTAGCTGTGGGGAATTTATGGCACCTCCACTTAAAATAACTTCCTTAGTAGCAAAAACCTGAAATAAGAGAAATATGATAGTAAATAGACATGATCTGTGACAGAACAAAATTTGAAAGAACGTTTTCAGGACCCTGCGTTTTTAGATCCTACACAGCTAACATACAGTGTCTCATTTCTCTTTGAATAAGGTATCCCATCATGAGTATTAGCTACCCAGGTATTTCCTGCAGAAAATAGTGATTTCCAAAGTAGGACCTTGATTTCTAAAGTTCCTGTCCAGGAAGGAAACTTGGACAACATGGTCTCTGAGAAGACAAGGAAATGATTTCTTTCTCCTAAAGTAATGCAGCAAATAAAATGGGTGATGTTCTATACTATCAGAATAATATCTTTTATAAGCCTAAAAAAAGTGGTTTGTCTTTAGAGTTCCTAACCAGTAGGCTCCCATTTGCGTCAGTCACTTTTTTTTAATCTACTAAGGCAAAGGCTATATGGGACAAGGTGATGATGCCTTAAATTCTTATCTCATATAGTCATCCTTACTGTTTAAAACATGAATTTGGGAGCTGTTGCTTAAATGACTTCTAAACAGTTTTCTGAAAGCACACTTCAATGAAATGAGTGAAAACACTGGAATATGTCAAAGTGAATCTCAGCTGATTTGAACGAGTAAAGCAAGAACTATGAAGAAAAAACAGGGTGAGATTCAACAAGAAGACTGAGTCACAAGGTGTATAAAAATGTTTGCAATGAAGATTTTATTGTTGTCTTAAAAGCTTGGGCTTGATACGTTTTGGCAATGGTCTTCTTCCAGAGCTAAGCATGAAACAAAAATATGTATTTATTTAGAAAAAGTTGGCTTGGGACCATTACAGCTCTTTTTAAAACTCTATAGAAAACAGTATAATATATTAATAAAAGTACACATAACAAAATCCTAATACATCCTAATGAGAGCATATAAGATACATACCAAGCTTTTAGAATTTTTACTTCTTGTGTGGTCTATACCAGCTCCAACATTGATTCAAAGTGCAAATACAGAAGGGATGGTATCTACGTACTCTCAGCTGGCAGGTGAGTCAAGGGCAGTGAGATAATCAGCGAGGCAGCGGGACAGTATATAAACCATGTGCATATAACCCCACTCATGAAATCATTGTAAAAATTAAAATTGCACTAGAAGAGGGTTTAAGCCTGGGTTGCATTAGTAATACTGAATATAAATTTCTGCTTAACAATAGCTCCAGAATACTGTTTTTGTATACCTTACCCAAGATTCAGAAAGCAAATAATTCAGGGACAGGAAGACAGTCTCAGGATGCAATTCAGTCCTGGAGCCCCTATCAAAGTTTATTGATCATTACCGTCCAGAGTAGACCATAGGTCTAGATGGGCGGGGTATAAATCTAATAAAATAAATAAAGATAAAATTTCAAAACCATTTATACCATATACTCAGGACTCTAGAGATATGATTAATAAATCTGAAGCAGTTACAATACAAAAAAAATGATATTTTAGTTAATCTGGATGCGAGATTATTATACACTAACATATCTCAGGAAGAAGTCTTAAGAATTCTAAGAATTACTTTAGACAAAACAGCAGAGGGACGCCCACCAACCTTCTTCCTGCATTCACTAGCTGAGATAGCCTTGAAAAGGATTTACTGTATTTAAAATTTAATAACAAGTTCTCTTGGCAAATAAAACGAGTGGTCATGGGATGTGCCATGGCCCTAAAAGTAGCCAACTTGTATATGCAGTCCTTTGAAGATAGGATGCATTCTGGAAACCACCTATTTAAAGAGAATTTAATCAAATGGTTTGCATACATAGATAAAGTCTTTATAATTTGTGGGGGGGGGAGAGAGAGTTTATTAGAACAGTTCTTTGGATAGCTTAATACTCTGTATTAAATTCGGCATTATTTATAAATATGACAAGATACATTTCTTAGATCTCACTTTCAAGAAAGAATCAGGGAAGCTGTACACAAAGGTATATAGAAAACCAACAGATTGTAACACCTATTTGAGTTTTGATCTCATCCTAGATCTCTACATCAAAATCTTCCTTATGGTCAATTCTTAAGGATGAAAATGAACTGCACCAGGAGGAAGAACTTTGAACAGGAATCTCTAATATTGAGAAATCAGTTAAGGAGCAGAGGTTACCCATCTGAGGTCACAGATAGTAGTTTTTCTAAGGCCAGTAATACCAGATGCAGTGATCTTACAAGTAAACAAAGAATGTACAAACCGTGGCAACTGTGTTCTAACATATGGTCATATCACTAACAAACTACAGAAATGCATAAAGACGCATTTACACATCTTAGAAAGTATAAAAGGCTCTCAAAAGAACAAGAAACATAGGGGATATGTTAGTAAAGACAGTACCACCACAAATTCCAAGTATTCTACTTAGTTCTTCCCCTCCCACAGGATACCATCCCTGTGAATATTGTGCCTATTGTTGAAATACATGCCATTTAATGGACTTTAAAGATCCACAGAATGGCAAGGTACACATCCTGAAGAGATTTACCAACAGCATTACTAAGGGAGTGATCTATGCCATAAGTTGCCCTTGTAACAAACTAAATAGGGTAGTAGACCCTTTAAGACAAGTATAGGAGAACCTCTTGAGTAATTTAAGAAATAGAAGGCTAGGTAGTCATCTTGTCAGCCATTTCACAGAATTTAGGCACACAATAAAAGATTTAATATTCTGGGTCATGGATATGGTTCCTGTTAAGTATAGGAGGTCCCTACCAAGGAAGGAAATTGACTGGAAATTGAGGTTGAACATTTTAGCCCCTTTTGGGCTAAATTAAGAAATAGGCTTCTGGCCCTTACTATAGCACAGTGCCCACTGCCTCACTGATTATCTCACTGTCCTAATGATTTCATGAGTGGGTTCATATGCACGTGGTTTATATACTGTCCCACTGACTCGCTGATTATCTCACTGTCCTTGATTCATCTGAGAATAAGTGGATACCATCCCTTCTGTATTTACATTTTGGATTAAAGTTGGAGCTGATATAGACCAAACAAGAAGCAACAGTTCAAAAAGATGGTATGTATCTTGTATGCTGTCATAAAGTTGCACTAGAAGTTTATGGGTCTTATTTTGTGCATATTTATTAATATGTTATATTGTTAATTGTACTGTATAGATAAGAAACAAGAGCTGTAACTATCCTAAGCCTGCTGTTTCTAAGTTAATGTGAATTTTTATTTTATGCTTAGCTCCTGAAAGCCACTGCTGAAATGCGCCGAGTCTGAGCTTTAGGAATAAGAATAAAATAAAAAGATAAGAATAAAGTCTGCATTGCCAACATTTGCATACATCTTGAGACTCAGTCTCCCAGTTGCACTTTTGCCATCAGTGGAAGTACCAGGTTCCTTCCACTTTTGAGGTCCAACAGGACCATTCTGTTGATAGAACTGTAGTAGCTGCCGCTGCAGTCATATTTGTACAGTTTGGGTCTTGTGAGCCAAGTGTTCAATAGAATTTCCCTAGAAAAACAGTTCTGCACAAAGATCATTTATTGGGGCAACTCTGTCCACAGGTGCAAACATTCAAAGATTCCTTATCCATGTATATTCTCAAAACATGCACAAGTCTAAACACAAGTCAAGAAAGGACAACAGGCAACACCTGGAGAGTATCTGTAAGGTTGCAGTGGGAGGGGGAAGCCCACCCATTCCTTGACTACATTATTTCTGTAAGGTACCTGGATTAATAAGTGAACTGGAGTCTACACCTCAATTTCGTTTGTCCCCAATGTATCTGAGAAGGTACCAATTTATTTGTAGTTCCATTTCAGATATTATTGTCTATAATTTTTTTTAAAAGAAGTCTTACTTTTTTCTTTTCTCCATTTTTAATATATTCAATGCCAATGGCTTTGGTGCCTTCAAATAAAATTTTGGTTACAAACGTACTGTCTTCTGCAGACAAATTTGGACGGGATAATGCAGGGCGAAGGTAAGCACTGGCTGTGCTCCATCTTTGACCTGCAAAATACAAGTTTTCATATAACGACTGTAGTAACCAAAATAACATGCAGTCTTTCTGTGATATATAAACAATGTTCTTGTTCTATGGATGTTATGTATTATTTATTCTCCTCCAACGTTACCATTCCAGTGCCGGTGGAGAGCCATTGACCTATTCAATGAAACCGTTTTACAAAGGATAGAATCCAAAGCTGCCATTTCACCGATGGATCTGCTTCCAGCATCAGAACTGAGAGGAGACTTCTTCCTCCTCTCTGAAGCCCTAGACATGCCTTCAAAAACTGGTCTGGAGGTCTGGGCCCCTCCACCAAGGAGGTGTATGGGTAAAAGGGAGAAGTACATGGGAAGCAATGCCAACTATGTACCCACTAGTACAAGTTCAGCTTGTATGGGCTGTTGATGAGGGTGCAGGCTGTTCAAAATGACACGTGCAATACATCCCCCAACTATAGAACTACAAAGACCAAAGGACACCGTATGATGTTGCTGTCCAATCCAGCCTCCTTTGTTTCAGCAGCCATCCCAGCTGACAGTACTTATTGACTACTCCAGGGGCAAGCAACATTTTGGAGGTGGAAGCATATTGTTGGCCCTTTGAACCTCTTGGTAAGCATGCACTGAGCTGAGCTGCGCTTTGCTGCCTGAGGAGTAGCAGCACTTGGGCCTGCAGCTACTTTGCAGACCTGCAAAGAATTGGTGGAAATCACACAAGCAGTAGACACAATAGCACCAAGGCAGCATGAAGGCATTCCAGAGACCAGATGTGACCCAAGTGACATGAACCCTATGATCAACTGCACAATCAAATTGTGCCATACTGATTGCTTGGGCGTAACACTCTATACTCTTCCATGGGTATAATTTTTTTCTTACATCAACTTCAGGAGGATTTCGGTCACATAGGATCTTGATTTAAATCAAATGGGATTTTTTTGACAATTTAAATTTAAAATATGATTTTCAAAAAATTTAAACTGTGATGTGATTTAAATCAATTTGATTTTTAAAAATCATTTACATTTATCCACCCTGGTTGCAAACATCCCCCAAATTTTACCTTTAAAATAAAGCACACAAGGTGTGAGCACCTTTAAGAACATCATCCCCCTATGACAGACTCACTGACTCATTAAATCTGAATTTTAATTTTGCTTACCATTGCTTCTGAGGCTACCTGATCCATATTATTTGTTTGTTTTGGGTGTGCGGTGGGGTGTTTATTTTAATTTCTTGTAAACAAAGTAAGTGTAAACAAACAAACAAACAAACATGTTGTCTCCCTTCGGCTGTGAGGCAGGGATTGGTTCTTTAAGTGTTGCTGCAGACCTGTCTAAATAATGCCTTGATGCCAAAGAAAAAAATTGTGTTCTTATACGATTTAAATAAAAGAAACCATATGGTTAAAAATGGTGTCAGATATACAACACATGCTTATTACAGTGGAAAAAGGGATGTTACCCTTAGCTGGAATTACTTTTAAGCCAAAACAAACAATCCTAATTCCACTGAACTGGGAAATCTTTTAGAGGAATCACAATTTCCTGGAAAACACAAAGGAAAGTCTATATTTGATTACTGTTGTTTAGCACCCAGACGCCAAATAAAATGTCTGAAGGCTAACCTTTGTGTATGGTCATGTCCATCCAGCCAAAGCCTTCTTGCTGAAAACCATTCATGTCCTCTGTGAAAGGGTACCCAGCTTGCTGAGCTGCATCCAAAAATGCTTGATGAAGAGGGTTTTTTGTTTTCCCCCTTGATACGTGAAGTGGGCCATTCCCACCTCGATAAAGGTCAGGACCCAGCTCATGAGTTTGTGCTTTCTTAAAATAAGGCAAACAAAATTCATAGTTCCATCCAGTAGCTCCTTCCTTACTCCATCTGTTATAATCTTCTGCATGCCCTCGAATGTACACCATGGCATTGAGGGAGGAGGAACCACCCCACACTCTCCCTCTTGGCCAATACATGATTCGATTATCCATGTGCTTTTGTGGTGTCGTATGGTAATACCAGTTATATTTGTCATCACACAGGTTGTAGGTTAACGCAGCAGGCATGTGAATCTTCCACAGTAGCATTTTGCTATCCAAAAGAGTATCTTTGGGCCCTGCTTCCAGCAATTTAACAGTGCTCTGAGGGTCTTCAGTCAATCGGTTGGCTAAGACACATCCTGCAGAACCAGCTCCAACAATCACATAACTGAAAGCATCCATGTTTTTGGAATCAACATCAGACAATGCCTGTGTTCTCAGTTTTTGGCCACTCAAGGCATTTAAACCTCTCAATAGATGCTTTTTAATTAACATTCTTCCTACTCTGTGCACATGACTGGCAAAATCGCACGTCTGAATTCTTTTCATTAAATGCGACATATTTGTCCTGTTGTATTTCTGAAGTAAACAGTACAAAGTCAAATACTTTGACCTGAAAAAGAAGGAAAAGATATTGATAACTGATATGTACAGTAACTCAAATCGGTCAGTCTAAACATACTAAATTAATGTATAATCTCAATCATAATTTTAGGCCTTAGCTCTGTTGTACTGGGAAGCAAAACTATACATTACTTTTAAAGATACCCTGTTGGTAAAATCAGCAATTTTTTTTTGCTTTTTGAGTCTTTGTACCTGCTAATTAGCACATTTAGAATTGCACACAAATTACTCTTACATTGTCAAATCCTCATTTTTAGTAACAGTCTGAGCTTCAAGATAATGGATTACCAAACTGGTGTCTCTACATATCATCATTCGCCAGAATTCTTTAGGAAAAAATTGTAATTTTAAATGATGTACAAAGTTTCTCAAGGAAAAGGAGAAATAAAAGTAAGGGTTGTAGCACTTTAAAAACTAGTACATTTAGTTCAGTATGAGCTTTCATGGATTACACTCTGCTTCCTCAGACAGAACTGAGGTACCATTCTTTTGATCTTTATTTTTACTAAATATGCTGCAATGAATTAACATGGCTACCACATTTATCTCAAGCAGATTAAGTTATAACAAAATACAACCAATGGTTTGGTTCACATATCTCATGACACCGAGGCTCTAGGACAATCCTGGCTTATCACTTGCAAGGAACAGTCTGGAGCATGCAATCCAATCACACCCTCAATCCAAGAGGGTTCAACTAAACAAATTATGGTCCTTTTATTGAGGTTTAGGGACATGGTGGCGCTGCGGGTTAAACCACAGAAGCCTCTGTGCTGCAAGGTCAGAAGAACAGCAGTTGCAATATCAAATCCACACAATGGAGTGAGCTCCCATCGCTTGTCCCAGCTCCTGCCAACCCAGCAGTTCGAAAGCATGTAAAAATACGAGTAGATAAATAGGTACCCCCATGGTGGAAAGGTAATGGCTTTCCATGTCTAATTGTGCTGGCCACGTGAGCACGGAAACTTGCCAACAGACAAACGCTGGCTCTATGGCTCGGAGACAGGGATGAGCACCGCCCCTTAAAGTTGGACACAACTGGACTAAATGTCAAGGAGAACCTTTACCTTTACCTATTGAGGTAAACCCCAGCCATTATGAGGTTAATGTGACTGTCTTAATTTAAGTGAACCTAGAAGTATGGTCTACTTCAGAACCAATGAGCTCTGTCTCCCTTTTCAGTGTGACACATTTGCTTGTTTCGGGACTGCTTCTTTGCCTCAGTCTGCTGTACAAGTGTCTCTTCAAATTGGGAGAGGCCATGATGCACCGCCTGCCTCCGGGCTGAACGCTCAGACGTCAAGGTTTCCCATCTGTTGAGGTCCATTCCTAAGGCCTTCAGATCCCGCTTGCAGATGTCCTTGTAACGCAGCTGTGGTCTCCCTCGGGGGCGGCTTCCCTTCACTAATTCTCCATACAGGAGATCTTTTGGAATCCGACCATCAGCCATTCTCACGACGTGCCCAAGCCAACGTAGACGGCGCTGTTTCAATATTGTATACATGCTGAAAATTCCAGCTCGTTCTAGGACTACTCTATTTGGAACTTTGTCCTGCCAGGTGATACCAAAAATGCGTCGGAGACAACGCATATGGAAGGTGTTCAGCTTCCTCTCCTGCTGTGCACAAAGGGTCCAGGACTCGCTGAAGTATAGGAGTGTGCTCAGGACACAGGCTCTATAGACCTTGATTTTGGTGTATGCCGTCAATTTCTTATTAAGCCATACTCTCTTTGTGAGCCTAGAGAACATGGTGGCTGCTTTCCCAATGCGTTTATCCAGCTCAACATCTAGGGAGAGAGTGTCAGAGATTGTTGAGCCAAGGTGCACAAATTTATGAGAATCAACAAGATATTAATGCTTTCCACCCAGCCTTTATGGCTTTTAAAGTTGTGCATAGTCTCTTTTTTGAAAATGGCCAGAGAAGCCGATTGGTTAGCAGTAGAGGTGGTAAGTGCAATGTCCCCTGGTGTAGTGGTTAAATTGCAGTACTACAGTCAAGCTTCTGTTCATGATCCAAATTAGATCCCAAAGGATTCGGGGTTCAGGCAACCAGTTTGGATGACTCAGCCTTCCATTCTTCCAAGTCTGGCCAGCTAAGTACCCAGCTCACTCAATGGCGAGAAGCCGATTGGTTAGCAGTAGAGGTGGTAAGTGCAATGTCCCCTGGTGTAGTGGTTAAATTGCAGTACTACAGTCAAGCTTCTGTTCATGATCCAAATTAGATCCCAAAGGATTCGGGGTTCAGGCAACCAGTTTGGATGACTCAGCCTTCCATTCTTCCAAGTCTGGCCAGCTAAGTACCCAGCTCACTCAATGGCATGGCATTCCTTATCTAATTATGTTGAAAACCACCCAAGCACTACAGGGAGATACATAAATCAAAACAACAAATTTTCTCACCAAACCGCCACTAGTTAATGAGCTGTTATTTGTATCCATCATGGTGCATCAACTCACACAGCCAGAGTACCACAAGGGCTAGGAACAGTGACTTGTTAGGCGTTGTTAAGTCAAAACGGACTTATAGCGGCCCTAACAGGGCTTTCAAGGTAAGTGAGATATTTAAGGAGTGGTTTCACTAGTTCCACTGCCCCCTTCCAGTTTCCATGGCAGAGGGGGACTGAAACCCTGCTCCCCAGAGTCCTCGGTCATCACTCTTGTCCACTACTCACCACAAAGTGGTGGCATTTTGGTGCTGTAGTTTATATACCATGGCACTTATTTTGGGGTGACCAGGAGGATTCCGCCTGACTTTTTTTTTTTTGATATATTTCATTATATGGTACTCAATTTGGAGATTAGAAGTTATTAACAATACTTTTAATAATAAACAATCAAACAGAGCCATGCACTGCTAAAGTTGCACTTCGCAGAGTGACACAACGGTGGCCCACGGAATTCAAGCAAATCCCCCCCCCCCCCCCCAAAAGGCGCCCGGGAAAGCC